TGTTCCTTTCTCTTTGCATGAGAAGTACAAATCTGCAAGGGGTATATCCAGGTTCCAAAGACCTGGATGAGGATCACTTGCTGACATAATTTCTCAACCGAACCCATAGCCCAAGTCAATCTAAATGATGATTAACTGAAGTAAAGTTTACACTGTTTATGAGTTTACATAGTTGTGCTGGCATAGCTACATCTGTTAGGACTGAGAAAAAATTCACCCTTGAATTGCCGTAACAATGCTAATCTGACAGCAATCTTCTGCCCCTCCTCCAATACACTCCCGACCTAGACATAACTGACAACAGAGGAGGCTTTTTGCCTAAAAAGCTTGTCTCATTGAACCAAAGAAGTGCTTTAGCTGTATTTGTGAAAGTACTTTACTAACATAAATTGTGTCTCAGGTAGGCAGAGCTGGAAGTATAGCTAAACCGGAAGAGGCATAGAGCCAAACTTCTACTATGTAACCTTCCAGTTGTACTGACTTGCCTGGGTCCTCTTCTGCAATCTGCCTGGGAAATACTGGTATGACTTCACTGTAGCTGCAGTCCCACAAATCCGCAATGATAACAGTTCAAAAGAAGAGCGTTCTCAGGAATTGCCTACAGTTTGTAGAGATCCCAGACTTGAGGAGCTGAATGAATTAGAAGTTGTAATAACTAAGTGTCTGCCAGGCATCTCCACCAGATACAAGTTGACAAACATTGCATAGATCAGTGGAGGCATGGAGTTAGAGAAATGCTGTGCTAATACAAAACTACATTTTCCTGATTTATTTTTTGTTGATGACCTCAGATTAATTTAAGAGACTGTAATGGCTCTTGCACGTATTTCTTCTGCAGAGGGAAAATTAGAAAGGCAAAAGCCCAGCTAGAACTCAATCTGACCACGGTCATAAGGGATAACAAAAAATATTTTTACAAATATACTAACAACAAAAAGAGAGCCAAGGAGAATCTCCATCCCTTATTGGCTGTGGGGGGCAACATTGTCACCAAAGATGAGGAAAAGGCTGAGGTATATAATGCCTTCTTTGCCTCAGTCTTTAATAGCCAGACCAGGTATCTGCAGGGTATTCAGCTCCCTGAGCTGGAAGACAGGGATGGAGAGCAGAATAAACTCCCCATAATCCAGGAGGAAGCAGTTAACAACCTGCTACACCACCTGGACACCCACAGGTCTATGGGGCCTGATGGAATCCACCCAAGAGTCGAAGAAGGGGTGAGGAGGGAAAGAAAAAAAAAAAAAAAAAAGCCACTCTCCATCATTTATCAGCAGTCCTGGTTAACAGGGGAGGTTCCAGACAACTGGAGGCTTGCCAATGTGACGCCCATCTACAAGAAGGGCTGGAAGGAGGATCTGGGGAATTACAGGCCTGTCAGCCTGACTTCAGTACGAGGGAAGACTATGGAAAGGTTCATCTTGAGGGCGCTCACAGGGCATGTGCAGGATAACCAAGGGATCAGGCCCAGCCAGCACAGGTTCATGAAAGGCAGGTCCTGCTTGACCAACCTGATCTCCTTCTATGACCACGTTACTTGCCTGGTGGATGAGGGAAAGGCTGTGGATGTTGTCTACCTGGACTTTAGTAATGATTTTGACACCATCTCCCATATCATTCTCCTTGAGAAACTGGCGGTTCGTGGCTTAGACAGGTGTACTCTTCGCTGGGTAAAGAATTGGCTGGACAGCAGAGCCCAGAGAGTTGTGGTGAATGGCGTTAAATCCAGTTGGTGGCTGGTCACAAGCGGTGTTCCCCAGGGCTCAATTTTGGGGCTGGTCTTGTTCAATATCTTTATCGATGACCTGGATGAGGGGATCGAGTGCTCCCTCAGTAAGTTTGCAGACAACACCAAGAGTGTTGATTTGCTGGAGGGTAGGAGGGCTCTGCAGAGGGATCTGGACAGGCTGGATCGATGGGCTGAGATCAACTGTATGAGGTTCAACAAGGCCAAGTGCAGGGTCCTGCACTTGGGTCACAACAACGCCATGCAATGCTACAGGCTTGGGGAAGAGTGGCTGGAGAGCTGCATGGTGGGAAAGGACCTGGGAGTGCTGGTTGACAGCTGGCTGTATATAAGCTGGCAGTGTGCTCAGGTGGCCAAGAAGCTCAACAGCATCCTGGCCTGTATCAGAAATAGTGTGGCCAGCAGGAGTAGGGAAGTGATCGTGCCCCTGTACTCAGCACTGGTGAGGCCGCAGCTTGAATCCTGTGTTCAGTTTTGGGCCCCTCACTACAAGAAGGATGCTGAGGTGCTGGAGCATGTCCAAAGAAGGGCAACGAAGCTGATGAGGGGGCTGGAGCACAAATTTTATGAGTAGCAGCTGAGGGAACTGGGGTTGTTCAGTCTGGAGAAGAGGAGGCTGAGGGGAGACCTTATCACTCTCTACAACTACCTGAAAGGGGGTTGTGGCGACGAGGGTGTTGGTCTCTTCTCCCAAGTAACTAGCGATAGGATGAGAGGAAATGGCCTCAAGTTGCACCAGGGGAGGTTTAGACTCGATATCAGGAAAAATTTCTTTACAGACAGAGTGGTTAAACATTGGAACAGGCTGCCCAAGGAAGTGGTAGAGTCACCATCACTGTAAGTATTCAAAAAACATGTAGACACAGCACTTCAGGACATGGTTTAGTGGGCATGGTGGTGTTGGGTTGATGGTTAGACTTGATGATCTTGAAGGTCTTTTCCAACCTTAACAATTCTGTGATTCTGTGATTCTGTGTTTAGAACTGATCTTATTAAAAATTATTAACAGAAGTAAATTTTTGTTTCAGTGAAACGTGGATTGGTGTCCTGTCTGTAAAACTGCTGAGGACAACATGGAGTAAGTATAATGGGACTACTGACCTAGATTTTCGGACGTGGACAAATCTCATCAGGTTTTGATTCATTTGGATGACTGACTGTAGACTCCTTTGAAAAACTCTGCCATAGAATTTTCATGGATAATTATGTTATTGACAAAATGGTATAGGAATATATTTGATCTTGAAAGAACCTCTCTGGAAATATAAAGCAGTATACAGATTTTTGCAGGGGACAAACTTAGGAGAAATAGTATTTCACAAATTGGCAGAGAATAAAGATATAATTGCTTTCTTTGGTATTAAAGTAATAGATTTAAAGGCTATAAATTAAGCTATAATCCCTCTTCTTACTATCAGTCATGTGAGACACTGGACAAAGAAAATACATGTTGATTTTGATCTTCTAAGTATGATGAATTCATATATTAAGACAAGTGACTGTTCTGTAAAAGTATTTTTATTCTGTAAAAGAATAAAAGCAATATATTGTAAAAATGCATATATATAACTGGCATCACCATTACCAGGGGCTGAAGCAACGTTCTAAAAGCCACCAGAGGGATATATTGCTGTTTCTCTTCAGTCTCCATGGGAATTAGCAAGCTTGAAAATCTCAGTTTAAAAATTGGAATGTTGGCTTATTGAAAGACTATTGTTGAAGGTTTCAGGACAATTAATATACATCAACCTTTCTGGTTACCTGTGTTACATATGTTCTTTACTCCAAACAGAAGCTTAAGATTAAACATAATGGAATTTTTAGTGTCTGATATTATCCAGGGAATCAAAAGCTTCAGAGCAGACTTGGAACAGACCTGAGCATCTGATGTTTGAGAAAGTGAACAAAAACATACTCTCTATGCAAAAAAGCTCCAACACAAAGCAGAAAAGAAAGAATGACAAATAAAATAAACAGACTGTGCCACTGTTTGCATTACATACGAAAAAGATTGTAAAGCGCAGTAACAGTAAAAAGTTTGAAATTTTGATGAATATATGAAATGAATAGAAGGCTGAATTAAATTTCTGTGAAACGCTGAATAAATTGTTTTAATTCTGTACATCAGCTACTACTGAAGTATTTTTTATACTACATTAGTATCTCCATAATTAAATTATATTTTTGCTTAAAATAATGAAGACAGACCTTTCAACTAACAGGCTTCTGTCTTTATTCTTTCAAAAGTAGGAGGTAAAAAAAATAGGTGAATTAGTTCTCTTAGTAACAATCATTCCTATCCTGCTCTGGTTACATGTCTAGAAAATAATTAACAGGTTTTCTCTAATGCTTCCTAAAGATGTTGAAACTATAGAACAAATATTGACTGGGAGGTAGCAAAACTTGCCTGGACAGGACAAAACAATAATGGTTTATATAACTGAAAGCAGTTTGCCAAAAACAGAATAGAAATTCTGGAAGCTCTGATTTAAAATTTATGTCAAAAGGGCCATATGTGTTGCATGCATGCACTGGGGTATTTGCAGGCCACATGTATGTCCTTGCCACCTTTGCAGTACCACACAAAAGTGCTCTTTTGCCTTCCTGAAGATTTTCAGGGCCCCAGTTTCTGTTCCTGGGAGCTGATTATGAGATGGTTAGCACTGGAGTCAGCCTTTGGGAAGCAAAATGGAACCAGTCATGAGGACCTGAAGAGATTCTGGCATGACCAAGCTTTCAGAAACTTTAGCAGAAACTTGCAAGTATGCTGTTTGCCACTGTTTATCAGGGGAATAGAGGAAAGGAATCTGGGGAGGAGGTGGAGGAAACAAGTCTGCACCTTGTGACTGGGTTGAGCACATTGAGTAAGAAGGACTTTGGACTGCAGTGTGTAAAATCACAGAGGAGGTGGAAGCAGCTTACTCTCCCCCGTGCAAAGATGGGGTGCCTCTCTTTTCCTTTGTTCTCCCCATACATGTGCACACCCCTTCCCCCAGATGTGAGCTCTGCCTATGGGTTAGGAAAACCAGAGAGAGGCATTTGCTTCTAGCGCCTGCTTAGGTACGGGTCAGGGTCAAAGACCACCTGAGCCCATGGGTGTTACGCAAGAGGTTGTTGTGAAGGGGCTCCAGCCTGCAGCATGCATCAACCCGCCTCCCTACTCCCCCTCCAATGCTGGCTTTGTACCTCAGGTGGTTGCGAAAGCCCCAGGACTACATAAAACATTCCCTGCCTAGGTGCACCGCCACTGCCATCAACATTTGGGCTCTCAAGAGGCTACAGGGACTGGCACTGTTTGTAAGAGACCCTGCTGTGGTGAGCTGGGGACAACCGGGTTCCTTGCCTGCGCATGCATCAGGGAAAGCTGCACGATGCCCTGGGGACCTGTTAGGGCAGCCTTCCTCCCTATCCTGCTTGTGTGACAGAGCCTGTTTCTGATGATATTCTCTGTGTATTTGCTGTTGCTGCAGGGACAGGATGGCCCACATGGAGAGAGCTCTACCCTGGCTGCTCCTGCTGGCACTTGCCTTGCTGGGCAGCAGCACGGCGGAGCGGGACTGCCGAGTAAGCAGCTTCAAAGTCAAGGAGAACTTCGACAAGACCAGGGTAAATCTTCTTTCTCTCCTGGATCTGTGATGTCTTGCCTAACTCCTCTTCCCAGGCTACAAAATCTGGCATTCAGTAGCACCACTGTGTTCATATTTTCACTCAAAGTCATAGACTGCAATACTGAGAAACAGCAGAAGTGTGTGATGTTGCCCACACCTCCATGGATGCTGGATCCTGATGCATCTGATAAAGCAATACTGCGGAAACTGAGGTTTAGCAGACTGGTCTCAAACTGTATGGTCTAAACAGAAAAGGAGTGTAATGACTTGGTTGTTTCTATGAATAATTAAAACTGGAGAGTTTTCAGACATCACTGCAAGGAAAAATCTTTTATACATAGATCTGTCAAGATCTGCCAGTTGTTATCCTCTTCCACCAAATTTTGTATCCTAAATACTGGAGAACTGCAGATACAAATAAAATGCCAGAAGATGCCAGTTCTGTCACAAACCCTGGCTGCACTAGGACATATTGGTGGGTTTATGCTGTTGGAACAGCTGGATTTGTTCTTAGGTACAACTTTGAGGCATGGTGTCAAAGGCTTGTCCTCCCCTCTGTTGCCTCCCCTAGTTTCTAATGTCTGTTTGTAATGTTTTCCATACTTCTAGGTCTAACTGCAGCCTTTCTTATTTCTTTGCAGTACAGTGGCACCTGGTATGCCATGGCAAAAAAAGACCCTGAGGGGCTATTTCTGCAGGACAACGTGGTAACCCAGTTCAACGTAGATGAGAATGGACATATGAGTGCCACTGCAAAAGGCAGAGTCAGACTCTTCAAGTAAGTTGTTTGCAGTCTTCCTCTTGTTCCATTTCACTGAGCTTCTCCTTCGCTTACAGGTGCTCTAATCCTACCTGCTGGCCCTCTGCTAGTCACACATTCACACTGAATCTGTGCTATTAGGTTTGAATGTGACATTTTCTTTCTCTCTGGCTACAGTAATTGGGATGTCTGTGCTGACATGATTGGCTCTTTCACTGACACAGAGGATCCTGCCAAGTTCAAGATGAAGTACTGGGGTGTTGCCTCTTTTCTCCAGAAAGGAAGTGAGTACTAAGCTATAGAAGATACAGAACTACTTGGGAGTCTAGTTATGTTGTATGTCCATGCTGGGGAAGGGAAAAGTAGTGCTGGATTTCTTAAACACAATTAAAACATGGAATAACTATCATCCAGGAAAGCCTTAATGTGAACAAGGTAATCACTATTTTTTATATGGAACAGCTGGTTGGCTTTCTTTAAACACGTGAAAACCAGTCCTTTGTATATCTTTGTATTTCTCTTGTTTGTTACCCAACAATATAATCAAACGTCACTGTTTGGAAAGAAATGAAAGGCAGATAAAGTATTTTAAGTCTTGTTTTAGTTCAGAACTCAGTTACCAGCTGCTTCTGTTCTCCCCAAAAAGCCTAATGTCAGACTTGGTCGAACAGGGAAGAGGATTTTGCAATTGTTATTTTGCTTGGTCTTGTGTCTGCAAGTGTAGAGATTTATCTGTTTTAAGAAACAAATATGATCCAGTATATACAGATATTTATATTTTCCTGTCATCTGTCACAGCCTATGCAAAATTAGTTTATTGAGCCAAGTAGAGATTCAGACACTTGTAGCTCAAGATATTTCCATGGATTGTTTCCAAGAGAAGTAGGTGGAATTTGGAAGTGATTTGAGCTCCATTCTCTCCAGAAACAGTTCCAAAGAATCCTTTGGATGCCAACTGGTCTTGAATTGTTGCCAGATCTCCTCACAGCATGCTGCTGA